ATCTTGCTCTCACTGTTAAGAAATCACATTTTGAATGAGATGCTATACATGTCAGATCTGTGCTTTTAGTGGTCCAACAGGCATGCTAAATGTGCTGCTTTGTCATTAACTCATGACTGCAAAATGGGAATGGAGATGATATGTTATTTCAGCTAATCAAGTGCTGAAGCTTCTAAATGCCAGAAGCTTTGGCCAAACCATAAGGATGAAAAATACACATAATCAATGATAGGTATTTGAAAGATTACTCGGAAAGCATGAAGTTCTTAAACTCATTTGGTACCCAGCAAGCCAGCTCTTGCCAAAGAAAATACAATTTAGAATGTGACTGAATTAAAGAGGAAATTTAAGAAAATAACCTTATGAAAGTACCCTAGAAACCAAAATAGGGGGATTTATTTTAACAAAATTATCACATCTGCTTCTGAGTTTCAATTTTATGCCTTTTTTTTTTTTTAAATCCAGATCTTAAGTACTGTTTTCACAAATATTCTAGGGTATTTTTATTAAACTTAGAAGCTGGTCTTTGCTTAAAAGTAGCAACTGAAAAGACATATCAGCTATCAAATATTTTGTGGTCATTGTTGCAAATCTAGTCCAGATGAGCACCGCCAAAAGGCTGATGGATTGTCCAAATACCTTGATCTGAGTGTTTTCCACAGTTTCTGGTCAAATATCAATACCGGAAAAAATTAAGCGCCACAATCAACATTAATTGCCAGCCTAAAATGATTACTTGCACATAATAGATATGTGGATTGATGTAGTGTCTTGGGAGCCAGGCATTAGGCATGTCTTTCTTGGATGGTGTGGAGGAAGCTTGATTGCTACTGATGCTTTTCCCGATCAATTGCGAAACTGGGAAGGGTTTGAGTTCTTGCTTTTAAACAATAAATTTAATAAGCATGGCTAGACTATTCAAAAAGAAACTTGGGTCATTTCCTCAATACATGTTGAGGTAACTGAAGAAAAATGACTGACTGTCAAAGATGACAAATCTTCACTGATTGTTCTGACTCACCAGAGCTTATGGGTGCCTAATTATGACTACACAAGGCCAACTTTTTTAGGGCCCTATCAATAGCTGTAAATATTTGGACATGGCAACTTAAATTTTAATCTTTTTTAGTTTTGGGGTTTTTTAACTAAATTGCCTATGAGACGTCCCCACATTTATGTAAGCCTTCTGTACTTTCACATTCATGTTCATCTGTGTTTTTGCAGACTGTTATTACTCATTATTTTTAATTCTTTGGATTTGCATCTAGAGTTTCCTCAAAAGTAATTTTTTAAAATTAATTTTAGACACCTGAAAACTGTAGTATGAGTATAGGTACCTGGACACCTCCACCAAGGCAAGCTTCTTACACAAACACAGCATGGCATATGGTCCCTTGAAGAGCTTACGATCTAAATAATTTTCTTTTCTCCCTCTTCTTTCTCTGAGATATTAGTAGCTGATTAGTATCTGGCTGCCTGCTTGTATAGTATAAGTGCTCTCAAAGGCTCCCCTCTCCAAGCATGCTGAAAGTAGAAATAATGAGCAGACAGCTTTCTGGCTTACAACAGTTTAAACATTGTTAAATAATAGTTTTTGACAAGCAGGTTTAGAAATCAAGTGCTAATTTTCGGCAAAGTCAGTGAAGGACATGTGGAATTATCACTGTACCAGGGAGATCAAATTCTGTAGATGAGACTACAGACCTACAGGTCTTGTTACTGGTTAGTACCATTCATCTCATTAAAGAAAAAAAATTGCAAGCAGAGCCAATTCTGCAAGACTGTGAGCGAGGTTCTTGAAACCTCTTGAGTTAGATTTGCTCAAAATGTTAAATAGCACCCTTTTGTACATTATCTGCACTATAATTGAAAAGGGGTACCCACCTTTTCACTTAATTTATTTCATACAGGAACTTACATGCTTATGTGACCAATCCAGTAAGGAAATCCTCTTTGTAATTAAGAGCATTGTATTGAGTTTTGTATTATTAGTTGTCCTGGGTTTGGGTGGGCTAGAGTTAATTTTCTTCCTAGTACCTAATATGGTGCTGTGCTTTGCATTTAGTATGAGAATAGTGTTGATAAGACACTAATGTTTTAGTTGTTGCTAAGTAGTTCTTACATTAGTCAAGGACTTTTCAGCTTCTCATGCCCTGCCAGCGAGAAGCTGGGAGGGGATACAGCCAGGACAGCTGCCCCAAACTGGCCCAAGGGGTATTCCATACCATATGACATCATGCTCAATATAGAAACTGGGGGAGTTAGCCAGGGGCACCACAGCTCAGGAACTGGCTGGGCATCTGTCAATGGGTGGTGAGCAGTTGTATTGTGTGTCACTTATTTTGTACATCCTTTTATCATTTTTTAACCCGTGGGCTGATGTCCCAGCCTGGCCTGCAGGGTCAGTGGCTGTTCTTCTGTGTCCACCAGAAAAAGCTGGGGAATCACTACCCTTTCTTCTTCTACTGAAAACATACTGTGTTCTGATTTTGGATCTGTTGGAGTCTAAGACTTTAGTTCAGGTTTAAGAACAGAAGACTTTGGTCCCTCAGGACGTTCCTGTTCTGCTTACTGAGACAAGTCCGTCCTTCATCAGTAAATATTAAATTAAGTTATTGTTTTACATCAGATTTGGTAAACTGTCAGGTTGGCAGCAGCCATGGGGAGTTGAAATGAAGTTAGTGTTGGCTATGCCTTGCTGTGGTTGCAATGGGGGTGTGTGGGCGTATTTATTTATTTATATCAGAAAAGACAGATTGCATTTACCTGTTACTGTGTCTGCTGTTGGGGCTCTCCATGTGCCCATATGGCTCCTGGATCTCTTTGTCAAGTGTTTGAAGAAAACTCAATCCTTGGAAAAGCCAGTTCAGTATATCAGGTATCGGTGACTTGGCAGAAGTTACTGAAGACCCTATAAAGCTTTGCAAGAAAAAAAAAAACAAAAGAAAACACAACCCCCTTTCTATTAATCCCTTTCTGATTTGATTCTTTGTCTCCGCTCTGGTTCCAAAGGCCAAGAGGCAGTAACACCACCAACAAAGCTTCTTTTACAGCCTTTTTTGGCATTAATTATGGAAGGATCAGATGTCTGACCTTTCAGCAGCAGGTAAAAGGAGAATAAAAATATCTATATTCCTGACAGTGCTTGGAAGTGCCTGGTCTCTCTAGCTTTTCTTTGCACTGACTGTTGTATGCAGCGTGCTCTAGATGTGCCAATAACATTAAGGCAGAGGACCAAGCTTGCTGGCTTTGACAGCTCCTTTCTGGCACTAAGCTGAGACTGTTCAAGTTAGCAAACTCTCTTAACATGGCAAAATCCACTTTGCCATGGGGTGGTCCATCTGTGCACAAATCCTCCTAGATACTCGTAAGGTCACCAAGGACTTTTATTTTTAAGTTCCGTATGTTAATCCAGTGTGCCTCCTATGAAGGATATCCCTTTCCTTGTTCCAGCACAGAAACCTAGTTGTAAGCTTTATAGGGTTGTTTTCAGTGAGATATGTAGGAGCTGGATCTTATTAGTAGAAAGAGTGCTTTAAGAATTTAGAGAGGTAGAACATAGTGAAAATCATCCTGTGTTTGTGCACTGAGAGTATTCATGTGTAGGTTAAACAGAGTCTTACAATTTCTGCATTATATCGATAATAATAGCTGTCTTCAACATATTTCAGATTCATTCCAGTGATATCAACACTTACTATTTTAAATTATCTTACATATGCCTCTATGTCCACAACATTGATCCCATTTATGTTGATGGCCAGTTTGCAGAAAGCTCAAAGGTGTTATATTCATGTATTAAAGAGGATTTCTTCTTCTGTACCTCACTGTTGCATTCATTATACAAAATATGTTTATGTCCTGCCATTCCATCTTAAAAAAAAATAAAATAGATCAGTAGGTAGACCATTCTGGCATTTTTAGTGCATCACCAATGAATTTTACTCATTTACCGTACCAATAATGTTACAGGGTATGGGCAGTTTCAGAATTTCACATTTTGTGCAAGTGCTTGAGTCCTAAAGCAGACACCATAGCTCTCAAGACTTCAACGCCATGTATTAGCCAGACAGTCATAGGAGTAGACACTTCCTAAATCTCATCAAATATTGGATGCCGCAGATGGAGGATGACACTTTTGAGCCATACCTCTTTTTCTGAGGAGCAGTACTACGTCCCTGGAAAAGCTATGCTGAATGCTGCCCAGATTTGACTTGAATCAAGGTGTTCTTTTATTCTTTCTCCTCTCTTCTCCTGAGGAAAAAGGGAAGTTGTGTTTGCAAGCTAATGCTCTGGTGCTTTTGGGCCCCATGCAGGGCCAATGACCAAGCCAGATAACTGTCTTGAACTTTTGAGAGGGGAGGAGCACAGACTGGCAGAACAGCATGACTGCAGACTGAAAAAGATCCTGCAACATTTGGAAGATCAATCAGGAGGGAAAAGGGCCCCGATTTTAACAGGGCTCATGCTGAGTCACAAGGACCTTCCTTTCAGGGAATGATTGCCAGGCAGTTTTCTGGAAATTATACTTTTTAAAAAGCCCTTAAAAGGGCCTCTAAAAATGAAGGCACCCAAATTTCCAAGTGGCCAGCAATGCAAAGGCACAGGACCCTGCTTGTTGTCTTTGTCTGTGGATTGAATTCAATACGTTGAAACCAGAATCTGTTGCATGTACACATAAATAGCTTCTATACAGATACATTTAGTTCTGTTTTCAATTGTGTGAAAGTATGTATGTTTTCAGTGAAAATTTGAATTACATGTTTTTGGGAAGTTAGAGATTAAACTGCAATATATACACTTGAATTTCATGTAGATTAGATTATGGCAAAATTAATATAGCTTTTCATATACTCTTTATGCCATACTATCTTTCCCTTTTATTTTGAAGTATATCATTCCTTGCTTTGCTCTGAAGCATTGAACACTAGCAACAAAAGTTAAGCCTCAGTGTGACCGTCCACAGTATTAACTTTCTTGATATGCTTTTATTCCTACAGCGAAGATGTTTGTAAACGAGGATTCACTGTTATTATTGATATGCGGGGATCCAAATGGGATTTGATCAAGCCTCTCCTAAAGACCCTTCAAGAAGCTTTTCCTGCCGAGATTCATGTTGCCCTGATTATAAAACCTGATAATTTCTGGCAGAAGCAGAAAACGAACTTCGGCAGTTCCAAGTTCATCTTTGAGGTGAGAGCCACAATTACCACATGGTAAAGGATTATCTCTGATAAGAAATTTTCTTCAGGTAAAAAAAAATTCCCAAGCCCAGTGATTGAGAAAAGAGACATCTGAGGGCTGCTTGCAGGAGTGGGCTGATGCCCTGGCATCAGATTGCCTTCTGAGCACAGTGGTGGAATGGGATACACGTTTCATCTCAGAGGTTCACATACATAGTACACTTTGGTGAGGGTTTTTTTCTGGTATTTAGTTTTGGTGGTGCATTCAGTCTTTACTTTGTTTCTCTTAGAAGAAAACCCCCAGTCAATATACTAAAGACAAAGATCTCTAGATGCTAATATACGGGTTTGTTAGTTGACCTCTACACACCTTCAGGTAGTGGCTTTTTTTTATAAAAGATATTTGTACTAAATTTATGTCTATATTCTCACCACTTTAATTTAATTGAGATTTACAATTCAGGGGTAACATTAATAACTCATGTAACGATAAGGTGCCTCAGGCACGTTCTTTGAGAAGTAACCAATATACAATAACTGCACAATTAAAGGGAATTTTACTAACTTTTTCACTGGTGAAAAACAAACCAGCTGTGTTCTCTTAGTTCACTTTAGTTTTCTGTGAATTTCAGATTCTTACCCAAAGAGAAGCAAAGCTCAGGTGCATGAAGCGCTCATACACCAATCATGCCCAGCCATGCGTTAGTCATGTGTTGTTTTTTTTTTAATTTGCTGAGAAACAATTCTGTCACTGACTGTTTTACTTACCAATCCATTAATTTCAGAGACACTCAGATTTTGCATCTCTGGAACTCAGATGAGAATTTGACTATTGTTCTTAATATTGACTGCAGAGGAAGACTATATTTAAGTATTTATTTAAGATCTGTTGAAGTCCATGTGATATAAATATATCCTTAAACCTCTTCTTAAAAGCACTCTTGAATTGCAATGGGCAACTAGATTGGTGTTAGGCATTACCAAACTTTTACAAAATTATCACAATTTAAGTATTTGTATATTTTTTCCCTCTTGTCTCACAAAAAACAGTCAACTCATAAATTTTGCTTTGTTTAAATGGGTTTTTACCATCTTTGGTTACCTATGAGGACTTAGTCATCAAAATAAGCTCCACTTGCTAGCCCCTATGTGCCTTTGAAAGCAAGGCTGCCTTCAGTATAGGTTTATGTCACCTCCAGAGATGCCTCACACTTACCGAAGTCACCATTTGGCAGAAGTGGCTGCCGTTACGGTGCAATGAGATAGGCAATGCGACCTGTGGGGAATGAGAGGGATCGGGGCAGTGGGAAGGAGAAAGGAGGTGTATGGGTACAGAAGAAAGTGGAGTAGGAGGGAGACTGTGCAGAGACTAGTAATAGAACAGCTTTTGGGGATGGGGAGCTTCTGTTTAAAATATATATGGGGAAGGGGCAGTCCTACAGTAGCCCAAGAAAAGACAGCTTATGCATGTATATCCAACACTAATTTCAATCCTCCAGTGCTTTAGTAACCAAAAGCGGTGTCTTCCTAAAGCTTCAAAACCTAGAAGTAAAGTAACAAAGTTCAAATATATATTTTTAGAACACTTGTTTGTTTTTAAAATGAATTAATACTTTCTGGAGGCTTGACTTTTTCTTTATCATGTGGAGTTGGTGTGATGATAGTGAACAGTAAACTGTGGTCAAGCTATTCTTCATAGTTATGGTTCTGAGTCTGTGTTGTGTTAAAAGCTCTGGATTCATTTGCTGTACATGCTGGCATGCATTAAGGGTATTTTCATTTTGTGTGTGTGTGCCTTTAAGCCTTAGTCTGTCTGCTGGGTGGTTCACATGGGTGTCTGTAATGGTTCACAAATTTTTGGACCAGAGGAGGATAGTCAGTGCTTTCCCTGTCTATTGGACCACCTGCAGACTCTCAGAACTGAGAAGTCTTTCAATTCTATTATTTTAAAGAGGTTTCTTAAGCTGTGGTTCACTGTACAGTAGTCCCCCTGCAATATAGACACCTCAGTCCACAAACTTCTTTTTTAAAGGATTCTTGTGGATGCTGCTGCTTAGTGGCAGGCTCAGGCTCTGGGGCAGCTCGTACTCTCTCATAAGAAGAACTTTGAATATCAAACAAGCATCACAGGTCAATAGGATTCACATTTATTTGATGTATGTGGAGCAGCACACAGGTACCCCTCTGCACTGAACCATCATGGTGATTTCCCACAGCTGGGATCCAACACGGGGTCCTTGGCAGGAACAGACTGCAGTGGAAGGCAATGGAAGTCTCTGTTCAATTACCCCACGTACAAACTCAGCTGTAACCAGTGTCAATTTTAAGGCCAGATTCTGCTTTAAGCTTAATGGAAGCATTATGCATGTGCCAGAGCAGTGTATGACCCTTAGTGGACGCTAATAATCTGGATTTTGCGTTGTGAGACTCTGGCAGAATGATTCTGTGTTACAGTCCAGAGAGTGAAGCACGCTCACACAATGAAAAGAGGGGAAAAAAAGGGTTTGGTTGACGTATGCGGACTCCAAAGCTTGCTGTCACTTTGAGGAATGGACCAGGCAGCTTAGTTAGTGTTAATTCAGAGGTGCCTTCAAGATTATTTTCTTTCCTGCCGAAAGGGTTTAAATAGTAGGCAGCGCTTTTTAAAGTGATTTCTAAAAGACAGATGGGTGATGCCTTAGAGACAGTTACTTTATCTTGCCACCTATTTCCTAACTAAGGCTCTTTTCATGAGAGTTTCAAGAACTCCTGAAAGAAACAAACCTGAATAAAGAAATTTGCTGCAGAATTAATGAAATTAAAAGCCTTTCTGCTATATCATCATGTCAAATTCTGTTCATGATAAGAGCAGTGCTTGCATTAGCTTGACACACTGCAGGGGGAATGCCCAGGTATTAGCCATGAAAAGAAGTCTTTTCTCAGCAAGCAGTTAAACTCTAAATTGAATTATCTTCAAGGGGTCAGCATCCAGGTCAAGAGGTTTAGAAACTTGAAATCCCTCTGAAGCTACATAGTTACCTTCCCGTTGTTTGTTGGCCCTTCCCTCTGTCCTCCCCCTTCCCCAAAGCAAGGAACATTGCAAGAAAGTTTTAAAATAATCTTTCTGCTGAGCATAAATTCAATACAATCCCAATTTTAATAAATTGCAGAATATTTTTAGATGGATACAAATTGGAAGAAAAGCCTATTATTAACTTTGAACTGGTGGGCAGCCTGCTATGTTGGACATAATTCAGGCTAAAGGAGAGGACATGAGGTATATTTCTTTGTGGATGACTTTTACAAAATTCCTGTGATTATTGGGTGCCTCCACTTCTGAAAAGCAAAAAACTCTGACATTCTTTAGAGGCCTGATCTTTAGGGGATATATGTGCAGTCACTGATGAACATCACAAGCCTTTAAGGGTTGCCAACTTGGGTGTTAACATGACAGCACTGAAAATCTCTAGTAACATATGAAACCGTATGCTCATATTTCAGAAAAAGTAATTTGTCTAAAATAACTGGGAACAGCCATCAGTTGTTGCGTTCTTAAATTATAATCTGCTTTCCAGGGACGCAGTGCATTTCTCTTATCACTGGTTACTGAGTCTGAATGAATTAAAAGCACCTCTCATTGATCGTGTATGATTCATGAGCAATACTTTCTATTAGCAATAAATTCTAATTGGTAATACTCCAATGACATTTCACTTTTACATTGATTGTAGCTTAATTGCATTAGAAATTACTAATATGAAAGAGATCTTCCTGTGGCAAAAGCCAACTGGAATAATCTGGAAGAAAAAACCAATATATTCTGTGTTCTGACGGGTCACAATACCTGCTTCAGTTCATATGCCTAAAACTTTTGCTGCTGTATAGCCACAAGTAGCAGAATCCCTGTAATACCCTATACCTGTTTAGTGAACAATCATGGCCAGATATCCAACAGCTGCAGTAAGAAGTCTTCAGTGTCCAACTGAGTTAAAGTAATCTATGGCAGAAGCATTCTCATTTTATGTTTATGATAGTCAGGCCAGCTGAAAAAAATAAACATTTTTCCAGTAAATATCATGTCTTTTAATAAATAAATAAATCAGTGCCATTAATAAAAAAGTTTTCAATCCAGTTAATTTATCACAATTAAACATAGTCTTCAGCATCTTTTACAATGTTCCTTCAATTATGTATTGATGAAGACAATAATCCTGTCATGCTCTTCTTGGATTGCACTGTTATTTCTGATTAGACACTCACTGATTCAATTGCTGTTATTTTCCCTTCCTTAGACAAGTATGGTATCTGTTGAAGGCCTGGCAAAACTCGTAGACCCTTCTCAACTGACAGATGAGTTTGAAGGATCCTTGGATTACAACCACGATGAATGGATAGAGTTGCGTGTCTCTTTGGAAGAGTTTTTCAACAGTGCCATCCATTTGTTATCAAGGCTGGAGGATCTCCAGGAAATGTTGGCTAGGAAGGAGTTTCCAGTTGATGTTGAGGGCTCAAGAAGGCTGATTGATGAGCACATGCAGCTTAAGAAAAAAGTGATTAAAGCTCCTGTGGAAGAACTGGATCGTGAGGGTCAGAGGTTATTACAATGCATAAGATGCAGTGATGGTTTTTCTGGTAGGAACTGCATTCCTGGAAGTGCAGATTTTCAAAGTCTTGTGCCAAAGATCACCAGCCTTTTAGACAAGCTGCATTCTACCCGGCAACACTTGCATCAGATGTGGCATGTCCGCAAGTTGAAACTGGACCAGTGCTTTCAACTCCGGCTTTTTGAGCAAGATGCTGAGAAGGTAGGGAATAATCTTTGTAAACCAAATTCACTGAACTAATTGTTGGATGTAGCAGACATAATGATATCCAAGAATAACTTGTCTGTGTCACTTTTGATGAAAGTTAATCAGCTTTTTATGTCACAATGGGTACATTTGGTAGACATTAGCACGAGAATCAGGCTTTTTTCAAGGTTTTTTTAGTAAATTTGTGAATATATTTATCTACATGTCACACCACCTAAACAAAAATTATTTTAGGGTTTGATTCACTATGATTATTGTTTGCACTTTTTGCAACTCTATGGGAAATTTGTAGTTTAAATCCTCCTAATTGTCACCTCAAAAAATATTTTCATTTTCCCTTTCCTAGGAAATCGCAGCAGGATTTGCAACTGGTAAAATCTTTAGTAATAGCTTTGTACCAAGGACATGGCCACTTAGTTCCCACAGCGTGAGATCTGAGACTGTGTTTAGGTTAAACATATAAACAGACCAAGAGAAAGTATTCTGAAATGGCAGCAGCATGCAAAAGTCCGTGTGGCTGTTTTGCATTAAAAAGCACATAAGTACGGCATTTGAATTCATACATGACACTGAGTCAGTGGCCAAGATTCCTGTTGACCAGCACAAGACCTTATTTGAGAAATATTTAACATTAAATTATTCCATAGAGATTGCATTGCAACTTAATAGTTCTTAGACGTTTGTAATGTAGTGTATCAGCCTGAAAAGCACATAAGGTGTCCCAAAATGAAATACTGTGCAGAAGTATTTAGAGCAGCAGAAGCACAGGTAAGTAACATGGCTTTAGGAATCGGAAGTTTCACAGGCATGCAGCACCACTGTGGAGTTACATGCCCATTCCCTGCCTCTTCAGAAGGTACTCGTTCAGGATCCTGTAGTTAGATAGGGAAGTCCTCTGCAAGCAAAGCATAGCAGCTAGTTATTATTGTTGAAAAGGCTGGCTAAGAAACAGCTAGAGTTCCCTAAAGTATCATACACAACACCATTTACAAATTTCAGTAATACACAATAAAACAGGCTTCTTATTACTTCTAACATTAGCCTGCTGTTTGCCTCTGGCAGCATATGCAGGTACTGATTTCAATGAATTTATTTCAGGAAACTGTGTTGTGCTAGAGTCTTGTAAGTCTCACTTTCTTAATGCAGAAGTGCTTGACCTCTTGTTAGATGGTTTTGTGAGAAGTCTTTGCTGCACATTTAAAAATCTAGGCCACAGAAGTACGGTATTCTCAACAGAAGTACAGTATTCTCAGTGGAAGGTACTAAGCTCTCGGACTCGTGTTTATCTAGTCTGTAAAGCCATCAAAATAGCACCAATCTCTGAATCTTCTCCACCTAATGTATGATCCAGTTGTTTCACTAATGTGTCTGCCTGGACCCAGGGAAAAAAAATATAAAAAAAAGAAATACAGACTTCATCTGCAGGGGTATCCCACTGAAGATTTTTTTTTTTTATCAGCTGCAAATTAATGTTATTTTTTAAACATCAGGGAGAAGCACGTTACTGAAACAAACATAATCTTCAGTAGTGCAGAGCAAGACAGAAGACATTGGTTTTCAATGCATGTACTAAATATCTCTAAGGGATGCTAGGGCCGAAAAGGCTCCATCATTGTATAATCAATCCGATTGGGAAAACCTTGAATTCAGATGAGTCCCTCTAAAATGAAAGTCAACGCAGCATCACTCAAGAATGCATAAGAGCAGAGTTTTTCTTCCAAATGCTACAATTTCTTCTTTTTCTCCCATTTCCTTCTGTGCCACATGCTGTAGGGTGATCACTCACTACTGTCCTTCCCAGAGGTGCCTGTATTTCAGTCAGTTCTTCACTTTGGTTTTTCCGTTTCTTTGGGTTTATTCAGATGACTACTGCTTACTAACATAATTTTTTCTTTGTATTTATTATTATTATTTGCTAATATTATTAGAAAATTATTATTTATGACATCATTAATAATAATAATGTTATAAGCTGAAAGGTTTTCAGATCAAGTCAGTGTCTGAGAAATTCTTGTTACCAAGCATCATTCTGTAGTGTTGAAGGAAGTCTTCAATATATTTTTCCTTTCTATCTCCTGAACAGGCATAAAAGGATAAAAGAATGGTGTGATACAAGTCTGAGCATTGTGACAGCTAGATTCTTTGCATGTGTTATTTTGAGGTTGTTAAGTGTAAGGTTTAGGCAAGTCAGCAGATAAATGCAACTTCTGAGGTGAAGGAAGGGCAGTGAGAATGTGATTCCTACCTTTTTAACACTGCTATCTTGAGCAATGCCTGATGACAAAACTGGCATTTTGATCTTCTCAATATCTCTTACTCATCTGCTTCACATTAACTAAACATACAGTCTTGCTTTGGCTTCTCTGAGTAGCTCCGCTTGCCTTTCCTTGACTACTACGTTTTCCCAAAGAACAGCAAATATTTTGTTGCTTTATAGTCTCAAGTCAGTGCTTTTAATCTTTTCAGTTTGCGAGTCCCTAAAATTCTTCCACAGAAGGTTGAAGACCCTTTTACTTCACATTTCACACATGTAGACTGATGTAAAACATTGATGTGCTTATTCTCCTTAGCTGCCTTTTGCAGATTTCTTTGAAGTAGTCTGACCATCTCAGACTGGAAAGTACTTGTCTCATAAAGTGTTCAGAGCTAAATCCAGCCTGAGTGCTGTCTCCACTGTATAAATAGCCACCACAGCGTGTCTTTGTATTGAATTTTAAAGTTTCCTGGTACCTCCATTTGCTCAATTGCACTCTACCCTCTACAATTAGGTATGGTAGCAAGACCCAGGATGGTCTTCATCTCCTGCGGAGACGCACAGCTCTTTCCGTAAAACCTGGATATGTCATTTAGTGCTAATCAAATGAAAATTCTAATAACCTGTGAAGCTCAAACTCCAACATAAAATTCTGCATATAAATAATGTTTTAGGGCCTTTTAAAATAACTCTGCATACTCATTGGGTGATCTTTTAGGAAACCTGTTCTAACAAGGAGAAAACGGACAAGGAGTTTTCATTTTCTGGACACATCTAATATTAAAGATTACAGGTGTCCTTATTGCCTGAAAAGTTCTTAAAGATGGACAGAAAAAAAAAAGGGGGACACAAGAAGGAAAAACACACAGTATTTGAAGGTAGGTTAATTTCTGAACCCCTTGGATCCCTTGATATTAAAATACCCGAGACATTCAAAGCAAATCAGTTCAGTTTTTTCCCTTCCTATCCTTTCTATTGGAGCATTTATAAATGGCAATCACTGCCTGGACACACAAATCATTCAAGTTACAGGTATTAAAACTCACAGAAGGTCTGGATAGCTGTGTGCTGAGCAACTGGTATTATTGGCAAAATAAACAGAGGGGAGACAGTCACCCCCTGGGCTTCTCCCACTCAAATCAGTGGGAGTGAGCAGAGCTGTCTATGGAGAAACTTTGTCTCCAAGTCAGGCCTTTAGGGTTTTATTTTCCTGTGCTGGGGCCGAGGGAAAGGAAAAGTGGGGCCATCACATAGGCACAAGCAGTGCAGTGAGATCGAATCCCCAGATGGAGACTGGGAGCTCCTTGAAGCTCAAGTCAGCAGGCAGGTCAGCCACGTGGGGAGCTTTGGCAGAGTGGTGTGAGGAAGTTCACATGCTGTGCAGTGCTGACTGTAATGATCTGCTGATAAATAACACATTTCAGGCCGCTGGTGTAGCCCCGACCCTCACTGTTCAACAAATTCATTCCTCAACAACTGATCTATACATACATATGTACATACATACATAATTTCAAAACTAGAACTGAGGATTCACTGTGTTTTTACTGGGTAACAGGGAAAATATTTTTAGCCATCAGTAACATGAAAAAATGTAGTCCAGTCTAAACTGAGTATCGTTTAAAAGAAAAACCCCACAATCAGCATAGATCCAACTATTAGAACTATCTGAGAAATGTTAATTGGTTGGTTGAAATCTGGACAGGGAGAAGAATTCAGGCAAAAGTCCACATTTTGCACTTGAATAAATACCAAAAAAGACAAAAAATTATCCTTAGACTCTGCACTTTCCAGCTCTTCTGGAAATCATTTGCAACTGGCACCCAGCTTGACTTTTATAGGAATTTCCCCATCATTCTGGGTTGGTTCCGTACCAATTTTACTAACCTGGCATGTTTGTCAATGAAAGAGAGCTATCAGGATGTCATCAGCATTGTCCACATTAAGTATAAATAATATAGTCGTCAGCTGGACTGAACCAAATACCTCTACTGTAAGCTGCTAACACCAGAGCAAAGAAAGAGCAGGCTGCTGTAATACCATTTGGATCAGCCTCCAACGGGAGGCGGGGAAGACTTTGCATGTTCTCTCTGTCCTCAGCTCCCCTTCTCCTTCCTGACTTTCTACAGAGTCCACTACACAAAGACAAACTCCAAAAGATGGCAATGGTAGTAAGAAAATGCCACAAGTTAATTTCTCTGGAAGTTTGCAGTGGGAGAAACATTTTATTTGGATAGGGCCAGCTTTGTAGGAAGTCTAGTGGCAAACCACAGGCCACATCTAGTCTTCAAGGAGAAGTGAAGTAGTAGACTTGCAGTCAAAACCATCTGCCTCATCCATAGGAAATCTTCCCTTTGAAAGCTCTGCCCACGATTTTCCCTGTGGAGCAGGCTATGGGAAGCTGTGCTGGCTGCTGGGGGCTGCCGTGGTACTGCTGCTCTGCGGGTGGCTGCAGCGAGAGGAGCGGAGGACATGGCCTGCAGCTCCTACCCCACAGCAGCTGTGGCTCCCATTTCCCAGGTGATGTGTGTGACCTGCCTGGAATGACGCAAAAATTTCAGTGAGTGCAAGAGTGATTGGAATGTGATAACAATGCAAACTTCATACAGTAGAAGACATGTTTGGAGGGCTGGGGGAGTAAGTAAAATGGTTGAGGGGGAATAGGGTGGAATAACCGCTGCATCCCTCTCCCCATGCAGGTGTGGGCAGTGAGACCGAGGCATGAAGAAGCGCAAGTTGC